AACAGCATTCAGAAGCCTGGAAGGGTCATCTCAGAGAGCTTCCAACAACATTCAGAAGCCTGGAAGGGTCATCTCAGAGAGCTTCCAACAACATTTCTCTGGGGGCAGGGACGGGACAGGAGAGGAAGATGTGGGGCTGGGATAAGGAGGGACAAGCGCTGTGGACCAGGGAGATTTTGCCCCTGGGGGTCATCTAGTAATGTCTAGAGACTGTTACTAGCATCTGGTGGGCAGAAGCTAAGAATGCTATGGATATCCTACAACACACAGGACAGCCATCCTTACATACACAACAAAGAATTATCTGGCCCTAAATGTAAATAGTGCCACTGTTGAAAACCCCTGCCTCTGAGGATATAGGGGAGCTCCCAGACTCTCCAGGGGCGCCTCAGATTGGACTTGGAAGCTCAGCAAACGGGAACGGTATCCAAGAAGATGCTGAAAACACCACTGAAGACATCACTGTCGCCACCACTGGGCACCCCTGGTGTTGGTCTAGTCTGGTCACTAGAACCGCCCCCATCCCCTGCCCCACTGCTACCTCTGGTCCCAGCAGCCACTACCTCTACCAGCGCAACTCCCGCACAGGCTGGTACATCTGGTTGATGGCACAGGGCTCACAGGACTGAATCCTGGCTGCAAGGAAGCTTGACAAACAAGTGCCCTCGGGCCGTTACACCTCCTGCTGAGGAAGTGGGAAAACTGCCTGCAGTAAGACGTAAGACAGAGTTCCAGGATCTAATAACCACATCAATGGCATCAAAGGGAAGGAGAGAGTGAGAGCAGAGCGGTTCTGTTTCTTTCTATGAAGGTGTCAGATGGGAAAACTTGGGCCCATTTGAGGATGGAGAGGAAGGAATCAACCAAGATGGAGAGGCTGAAGGTGTAGAAGGAAGAGCCTAGGAGGAGAGAGGAGCCAGATGGGACAGAGATGAAGATGCGTTCAGATTGGGCCCCTCTCTTCGGTTGTGCACACAGGGATGCTCAGCAAACCTAAAGGATGATAGAAGAACCATCAGAGAAGGGCATCTGTCACTGAGAAGCAGGCCCCAGCCTCTCAGAGAAGCAGTTTAGGGCTGGGCAGAGGGTTCAGACATTATCAGATTCATTTTGTCAATGAAGCCACGGCACAGGGAAGGGCTGGGCCAGAGTCACTCAGCAAGTCTGAGGGGCTGAGACAAGACTCCCGTCTCTCTTGGACTCTGTCAGTACGGGGGGCTGCAGGGTTCTGGGATGGTCAGATGTCTCTCCCCTTTTAAGACACAGACCTAGCTTGGCAAGGTCAAAGAGACTGAACTGGAATTCCCACCGCAGCCCCTCCCTCCCCTGCCTGGGAGGGACACGATTAAAGGGTAGCTGCCCATGCAGGGCCTAATTCCCTTGCAGCTTCCCTGCTCTGTGGCCCCTGGTCTCTGCCATGGGGAGCGCTCTGACCAGTCCAGCTTGGGGCAGCCCTGCCATTACAAAGCACAGCCTCCTGCAGAGCTAGAGCCTATCCCCTACCCACAGGCCAAGGGTCTCCTGGGGTTGCCAGAGATGACACATTGATTCCATCCTGCACCTGTTCAGGGACTATCCCCAATATCCGATGGGACAGAGATCATGCTGCTCTACGGTCTTTGGGTGAACACCTTTGGACGCTCCTTCATGAAGGACAGTGCGAAGAAAGGACTAGGAGACCTAAGCCAAGGCCCTGCTTCACTGCCTTGCCAGGCCCCTGCCCATGAAAGGGCTCACAGCTCCCTGGGGCCCAAACCGGCCTCCATTAGCCCAGAGGGTTTGCTGGCTTTTACTGTGTCTTTGCAGGGCGCTGGGACCTGTGCTGGGCAGCTCAGTGCCACAGTGGGGCCAGCAGCAGGCACGGCACTTCCACAAGTGGCTCAGAGCCCAATTCTGCTCCCTCCTCATGAAGGGCAGCAGCCAGCTAGCCAGCAGTCCTAACCCAAAGGGAGAGTCCAGCCTGGGATCCTTCCAGCCTCGCCCAGCATCTCGACATGGTTTGATCTGCAGCATGGCATCCTCTGAAGACGCCCTTGGCGCCCTCTCCAGGGAGGACCCTGGAAGCAAATTCAGTCCTCTGTGGCCCAGTCACTTCTGTTTCGGCGCAGAGCCGGCTCCAGGGGGCTGAGGCCACTTCCCCTTTCACAGGGGCCAGCTCTCACCACCAGTCGATGCCTCCGCCTCTTCCTCCAGACTTGTCTCCTCCTGGCCCCTTGAGCCCTGGGCTGTTCCCAGCTATAACTCCGACTGGGATCTCGAGATCCGTGGGCCCTTTCGGATCTCTTTCCGCTTCTCCTCTTTCTTCCTGCGTTTCTCCTCCTCCCTCAGGGCCTTCTGGAAAGGGTCGGTGCTGGAAATGAACTGAGAGAAGAACAGAGCAGTCTGGTTTAGTCCGCCAGCAGCGAAGAGTTTGCTCTGAGTTAGGCTGCTATGGGCTTGTGGTGGTGGGAAGACTGCCTAGACACAGGCCCTGCCCTCAGGGAGCCCGCAGACAAGATGGTTCAGTGAGCCTGGGGGAAGCGGCTTAGAGGGTCCTGAAAGATAGCCAGGAGCTCGCCAAGCAAACAGGGTGAGGGAAGAAAAGGACATTCCAGGCAGAGGGGCACGTGCTGGGGTGTGAACCTGCATGGGGCTCCTCCTCTCAGGGTGAGGGGGCTGAGTGCCCAAGACAGCCATAGACAGCCGCCCCCCCCACCTGTGCCACACCCCTGAGGAGGGGAGGGCAGCCAGAGAGCACAAGAGACCACAGGCATCCCGTGGCTTGCGAACAAGCCGCAGATAAGCCCAGGCAACGGAGTACACCCACAGGAAGCAGTGGGTCAGAGGTCAAACTGGCAGAACCTGAAAAAGAGGTGGAAAAGAAGACGGTAGGGCCCAGGCTCATGGCTTCCACGGTGCATGGATGGTGGTCCTGGTGAGGAGACAGGAGCACAGGGCGAGCCAGGGTGGGAGGAGGAGGACTTCGGTGGAGGCATTCCTCAACTGCAATCCCCAGGGCTTCTGCTGTCTGCAGACTGGCTCATCTAAACCCTGGCTTCTGTTAGGAGCCGATGTCAGTTACCGCTCAAATCTGCATCTCCGTATCTAAATGCCGCCAGATGTCCCAAACAAGCCCCAGACTTGGCACGGCTCCATCTCCCCAAACCCCAGTCCTTTTCCAGTGTCCCTGTCCTTGCGAACAGCAGGGCTCCACACCCCCACCTCTCTCCTTCCACAGGAGTCCTTGGCCAAGGCCTGGCCCAGTGTAACTCCTAAGTCTCTCTCAAATTCATCTACTTCTCTCCATCTCTCCTATCGCTAACCCCATCACCACCTCCACCTCCCTCACCATGACTCTCGGGGCCTTCCAAGGCTCTCTGCACCCACTTGGGTCCCTCTCGAGCCATTCTCCTCACTGCAGTTAGTTCTTTTCAAAAATGCAAATCTGACCATGACACACTCCTGCTTAAACCCTTCTGTGACTCTGCATTACTTTCAGGATCAAGTTCCACATGCCGCCTCTGCAGGCCCCCATTGCCCACCGCTTTGCTCCTCCCTCACACTCCCCGCTTCGGGTTCTCGGATTCCCTTGTTGCTCCCACTTCCAGGCCTCCGCAGGTGCTGTGGTCCGGGCCCAGAATGCTCTTTCCAGCCCCTGCGCCCTTAGCCACGTTAGTTCCACCCTCAGGGATCTGCCCGGATTCCTGGCTGGGGCTGGGGCTAGCCCCTCCCTCATGATCACATGCTTCGTGCCTGTCGCCCCCACTGGAGAGCACTCTCTGAGGACGGGAGGATCATGTCAGGTGTTGCTCACTGTGCCATCACTCCCTAGCACAGGACCTGCCTGGCTTATAGACGGCACGCAGTATGTATTTTGTAAATGAACGAATGAATCATGTTAGAATATGAAATGCTGTTAACAGTACCCCAAACTCAGGTTAACTATGCTGTGAAAGATGCCCATCTTATTTGTTCTTAGGGCAAATGTGACAAATGTTTCATCAAGGTAGACATTAAAAACAAACTAGAAGTTCTACCTTGTGGAGCAATCTACCTGCCATGTTAGATTGAACTATGGGACAGGAAGATGGGGTGAAATCAGAGAAGTGTGGCCCAGAAAGGGTAGGTGATATGCTTAGGTCATACAGCAAGTGGGAGGTACAACTGGGACTAACCCCCAGGCCTTCCACCTCCCCGGCCAGTGTCCCCCCCTACCACACTCTGCCTCCTGTGTCTATGAGTTAACGCTGATCCTCTTGGGAGGGATGAGCAGCTGGGAGCTGGAAGCACACCCCCACCCCCACCCCCAACCCCCGGTCACAGAGGATCCCAGACCCTGTGGCTCTGGCTGGGGTAGAGCAAGTCAAGAGATCTGGGCCCTCCAACCCCAGCTGGCTCAGCCTCACCAGGAAAGCCCAAACCTGGCTCAGTCAGAAGAAAAACACTGCCTTTCCTTTTCCCAGACCCCTTCCCGACAAGGCCTAACTAATGCCTACTTGAAATTCCTGATGCTAACCTCAAGCAGGCCCTTCATGCGGCCTGGCAATCCAGGATGTCTCCCTGGCCGCTCACTCAGCCGTTCTCCTAGACACACCTTCTCGAGCCCCCAACCCTGCTCCACTCCTTCCCCACAAACCACTGCAGAGGACAGAAGCACTCACAAGACAACTTCCACAAGCTCTCACCTCCACACCCGCCACCCCAGCTGCTTCTGTGCCCAAGCTGCTCTTGGAGGCAAGGCCGACCCTTCCCCTGGGCGCCAGCAACTCCCCCCTGCCTTACTTGCTCAGGGATGAAGCCCTCGCGCCCCTGCACCATCAATTCTTCCTCCCTACTGCGCTGTCCCCACCAACATGCTGAGTCTCTCCCACCTGATGAAAATCTCCCCCTCCAGCTATTCTCCCACTGGTCTGTTCCCCTTGAAAGGAAGGCTCTTCAAAGGTAGTCTGCACTTGCTGTGCCCATTTCCTTGCCTCTTATTCTCTTGAAATCCGATCTTTGTCCGCACTGCTCCACCGAAACAGCTTCTACTAGGATCTCTGATGGCCACTGTCCATGTTCCTAAATCCAGTGGCCGGTTCTTAGGCCTCATGCTCCTCAGCCAACCAGCAGATTCTACAAGTCGCTCATTGCCTCTTTGCTACGCTTTCCTCACAGGGTCTCTGGGAAACGATCCTCTCCTGCGTTTCTACTCTCTCACTGACTGTCACTCTGGGACTTCTTTGCTGGTTCCTCCCCATCCTCCCTCCTCTACCCGCAGGCACATCCTAGACCTCAGCCCTCTGGGCAGTGCTCTATCTGCCCTGGGGTGATGGGACGGAACCTGTGCCCTGGCTCTGCGTTCCTTCTTTCACAGGCATGACTCGTATTTGCAGCCGCAGCTTCAACCTCAAATCTAGAGTCATATTTCCAATTGCCTCCTTGACATCTTCATTCAGATGCTCGCCAGGTCCAGAAACAAAGTTTTGATCTCCAATCCAGGCCTCAACCTGGCCCCACCCACAGTATGTGCCCATTTTAGAAAACGGCAGCCCAGTCCCATTCTTCCGTGTGTGCAGGCCAAAGTCTTCTACTCCTTCCTAATGAGTCTCTCATGCCACATCTGCTTCCTTAGCTAATCTTACTGGCTCTACCTTCTGAACAACCGGAAGCTCACCATCCTCACTGTTGTCACCCTGGTTTAAGCCACCATGAACTCCCATATGGACAAGCACAGTAGCCTCCTCGTCAGTGTCCCTGTTTCCCACCCTGGTCCCCTAAACTACCCTCCACCCAACAGCCAGGCTGATCCTTTAAAGGGGGTAGTCAGAGCCCATCACCCTGCTCTCTATGCGTCTCAGAGTAAATGCCAAAGCCCTGAGAAGAGCCCCCCCAAGGCTCTTGTGATCTGGCCTACTCTGACCTTATCTTTTCCCAGCCTCCCTTCCCCCAAATATGCTTCCAATTCCAGGCCTTTGCACTTGCTGCTCCTTCAGCTGGGAATGTTCTTCCCCCAGATACACGGCTGGCTCCCTCACCTTGTTCAGGTCTTTTCAATAAGACCTTCTGTGTCTGAGTCACATGAAGTAGCAACTGCACCTCCACCTAATCCCCAAATCCTTCACCACATTCCCCTGCTGTTTTTCACCACCTACCATATTGTATGTGTTTTACTGACTATCTCCCAGGAGAGCAGGGCTAGTCTGCTTCTCTCATGGCTGGGATTTAGTAGATGCTCACTGAATGATAAATAAATGCATGTGCTATGCCTCTGAGCCTTTGTGCAACTAGTCCCTCTGCCTGGAAGGTTTTCCCCAAGATGGTGCCCCGGGCAAGTCTAACTTATCCCAGAGCCTCCACCACCCACCTGCTGCGGCAGGGTCAGGTTCCCTGCCAGGGGTTCTACGGCTCACCACACTCACACTCCCCTCTTCCCCTGGTACAGTGATCACGCTAGATCAGGACTGTTTCCCTGTTGCCTTCCCCAACAGACTGTAAGCATATGAAGGGCAGGGGGAGGGCCAGCTCCCTCTGGATGGGGGCAGTGGCCAGCATACAGCCTGATACAAGTTCGTTCTAGTGATGGGTACATAAGCAGTAGGAGAGGACTCCCAGAGCACTCCCTGTTGTGGAGAGTGCATGCGGGGAGCTGAGTAAACCTGAACTACTGCTGGTGGGACAGGTCCACACTGGAGGCCAAACAGTGAGTCAAATCTTTAGACTGTCCCCAGCCAATGAGAAGTAAGGCAAGGATGTTGCTGTTATGGTTATTTCCAAGCAGAGCACACTAGGACAAAATCAAACTAAATCTATCCTAGAACCCATTCTCTCTGGTGCATGCTCTCACCCTCCTCCTGTGTCAGAGGCATTCATGACCTACAGGGCAAGGAGAGCCAGCGTCACAGCAATAAAGCATCTCGGTGGGGGCCCCTCGCCGGGAAAGGCAATCTGCCATGGACTTAAGTGTCCTTGCATATTCTTGCTGGGTATGCCCTGACTGCTCTTATACTGGCCATTTATCAGGGTTGCAATGGAAGCAAGCAACCTCGAGGGATGTTATGTGATGGTGTGACAGTAACCCTAGGAGGGAAACCCACATCTCCCATTCTGCTGCCTGAAGCAAAGCCACTGGTTCAAGGGAGCCCTTGATTCAGAGGTTCCCCTAAATACTCACGCCTGGTCCACTGATTGTTCACCTAAATTAAGAGCTAATGATGCTGTCCAGAAGAGTTAACATGGCCAGACTGACTGCTATCCTTTGAAAGACCTGCTTCTAAGGTTGGATCTTGGCTGGTGTCTGGAAATTTGGATTTGGGGAGGGCTCCCACCACCCTAAGTACTGAGTGGCTCACTGAGCCTAAACTTTGCCAACAATGTGGTTTATGCTGAACACCTGCTTTTCTCCTGGGGGTCTGGAATTCTGGTATGCACTGGGCAGAGGGTGCTTAAGTGACCAGCTCCCAATAAAAACTCTAGGCACTGAGTCTTTAATGAGCCTCCCTGACAGACAGCTTCTCACAGGTCACATCTTATTGCTGGGGGAATGAAGTATGTTCCTGAGGGACTCCACTGGGAGAGACTCGTGGAGGCTTGCACCTGGTTTCCCTCAAACTTGACCCCATGAGCCTTTTCCCTTTCCTGATTTTGCATTGTATCCTTTCGCTGTAATAAATTACAGCCATGAGCACTATACACTCAGTCCTCATCAAACCTGGGGACGCTTTTGGGAACCCTGGACACTGGTGTTTATTGGCAGCGGCAGCCATCCAGCCCCAGTGACAATGCTGGAAGACTAACTGCCATCAAGGCCAGTAAGATAATGATCTGAATTAGAAGCCACACCACCCTTGCCTAGATAATATTCTTAACACCATGCACATTATATTTCTACGGACTGTCATTAGCTCTTAGCCATCTGGCCTGCTGCTCAAAAGACTATAGACCGGCAGATCAAAGACAACCATTCTTCTCTGGGGCCACAAACTATGGAAACAAACTGGTTGAGAGTTTAACAGTCCAGGTCACTTGCTTCGATGCCCATCATAAGGCCCATTCTCTGATGAGACCAACCAGAATCAAAACACTGATCAAGACTACACTGCCCAGTTAACTGGCACTGCCACCTAAATGCATCATTGCCCTAGATGTGGCAACATACCTGCCACCATGGATGGGCACAGAGCAGAGGACTCCGTATTTCTGGCTTGACTGCCTAGAGTCCCTGTTGGTTGGGATGGTATGACCTGAGATCATTAGGATAATGACCACTTGACTGAATATGCTCCCTCCAAGTCTCCCTACAGTGGCCCATGGGACCCAAGATGGAAGATACAATGTGTCTCTGAATGTTGTGTAAAAATGCCCTCGTCCCATTCACATCTGACCCTTCTGGATGAAAGAAAGGTCCAGGTGAGAGTAGGGGAGGATTGGAGAAAAAGTGGAATTATAGGTCCTGGGATGTGACACCCTGATTTTGTAGCAATAATCTTAGTATCTGGGGAGGGAACAATTAATCTGGGTCTCTTAGATCCAGCACCGCCACTTGGCAAACAATCCTAGGATCTGCCCAAGCCAAGTGGCAGCTGCAGCTGACAATCTGATCAGCTGTTGGGTGCGTCACTCTCAACCTTGTGATAGGAAAACTCACACGGACATGGTTGGTAGTGAACTACTCTAATGTGCTTGATGCCATCAAAAGCAGCTCCCGAAGTGACCCTGTGCAGACACACGCAGCAGTACGACCGTTTTAATCTGACAGATACAAATGCATCTGCTTCTCCTGATGCCTAAGTGACCTTCCATTATGCCAAGTAGGGCAACTGAGGCTGCAACTCCATAGGGACATTGCCCTCAGGGCTCAGGCCGATAATATAATGGTGACTCCAATCAAGCAGTAACATGTGGGAAACAGTGGGCCATGAAACGTCTCTTTACTGGGGTGCCTGGGTGGCTCAGTCAGTTAAGCAACCAACTCCTGATTCTGGCTCAGCTCTTGGTCTCAGGGGTGTGAGATGGAGCCCTGAGTCCCATGTCAGGCTCCATGCTAGGCGTAGAGCCTTCCTGAGATTCTCTCTCTCTCTCCGCCTGCCCCGCCCCCCGCCCACTAGCATATGCATGTGCGCGCGCACACTCTCTAAAAAAAAAAAAGGAAACGTCCCTTTACTGGGGATGAGGACTGCTTTGGGTCCATCTATTGCTCCCTGTAATTATTGACACTGACATCAAAGATCAGCAGGTCAGTCTAAACTCTTGCATGGACGGTAATGGGTAACTGACTGGCCTCAGACCACGTCCTGATTATCTAGTATAAGACCTACTGGCCGGCCCAGGACTTACCATGGCTGGCTGAGTCCGCCATGCCGGAGGACTGAGGTCAAAACCGCAGGCTGGCTTCATCCTGCTGCTTAGAGTCCTGTTGATGGCAGCCTTAACCAAATGGCAGTATGACACATGCTTAGAGTCCTGTTGATGGCAGCCTTAACCAAATGGCAGTATGACACACACTGAACATATTTGATCCTAGCCTCTACCTATCAGACCAATCAGACTGAACAACACATTCATGTGGAAATTTAAGTTAAGCCAAGAGGGCTGAGGGGTGAACTGTGGGGGAGGCAATCAACCACAGCCCTGAGCATCCCTGAATGTTCTCACTGGGTACACCAAGAAAGCAAAGCCCTGGTCACCTCTGTCTGGGCCATTTGTCAGGACAGCTTGCAGAGAACAACCTGGAAGGGTGACATGATGACTGCCCCCAAAGAGCAGGTTTGCTTCTGTTCACTATAAAGGCTGTGATATTCACAGCTTCATGCAAACCCACCGCATGCACGGCATCTGCCTGGGCCCCTCTGGGTCACCCCTGGGTGACTTGGGGAACATGGGGAACCCACATGACCAGGCCAACAGTCTGGATATTGCTTTTGTTGTAATAAACTCTGATGTCTCTGACCTGTCAGCATCCATGAAACAGTAGCAAGCTAAAATCCTAGACCCCTCACGGACCCTGACACTCCTCCCTATACCAGAGGAGAACCTGGGATTTGTCAAGTCCAGTCCTCCAGCCTTTCCTGCCCCTGCTGCCCTGCCCTGCCACCTCTGAATCCCCCCCGACCCACTGTGTGTGTCCCCATCTGTCACCCTACCCTGCAGCCTTCAGCCCTCAGAGCCCATCTCAGTCCCCTAGGATGAAAGTATGTGCAGGAATGTGAGACAGAAGCCTGGCTGAGCACTCAGAGGCTCAAGGGCAGAGAAACATGGCCTGACCTCCTCGGCATCCACTTGATGTTGGATGCCTAGTGTACATTGGGATGGGTGTGTTCACAGCCTCTGACTGCCCCCCCACAGCTGGGGTCGATACCCCATGAAAAGATAGGGAGCCTGAGGCTAAGACAGGGGCAGTGGCTTGCCCAAAGGCACCAAGGAGCAAGTGATGATACGTGCATCCAGACCCAAGCATGTCTGGCTCCAAGTCGAAAGCCCTCATGCTCCATTCACGGTGCCCCAGCCTCTGTATGACCTGGCTTCCCATGACCCAGCAGAGGCAGAGTAGACATGGCCATAGGCCCCAGCAGCTTACCTCTGGGCGGTCTACTTTAAATGGGTTCTGGAAGTCAGAGTCTTTCTCGCTGATCCCCAGCTCCTGGGCCATCTGTGGACGAGGAAAAGTTAGTCATCGTCTGCCTTCTCCTGACTCCTTACCCACGGCCACTCTCTCCATGGTGGGACCCAGGCCCAAGGCTTAGGCAGATGTGGAACAGGTGATGACCCCTAGGGACCCAGGTCATCACAGACGGGATCTCAAGGTGCCCTGAGGCTTATCACAGAAAACACAACCAAGGGCTGACATTCAGGCCCAATTGAAGGCAGATGCAAGGTTCATGATACACCACCAGGCAGAGGGCTCCTGAACCTCCTCTGCCCCAGTCAGTCCTTACCAGGCCAAGGATGGGCGAGTGGGGCCCCTGGTCAAACACGCCCGACTGGTTGCAGAAGCTGATGCCCCAGCGGATGAGGAGGTTCCAGTTGGAATTGTGGTCAAAGTAGTGGTGCACAATCCTCGGGAAGCGCAGCACCACATCACCGAAGAAGGCCGTGTTCTCCACTACTTGGGAGAAAGCTGGCGAGAGGATCCTGATGAGTGGCCTGGGCAGATGCCCTTCTATTGCCCGCCTGGCCAGCCCCAACCACCCTTCAGAGAACGGAAGCCCACTAAGCCTACTAATGAGAGAAGGGAACTGTGCCCGCTCTCCACAGGTGCTGACCACGTGTGCAGTGCATGTTAATGGCTTTATGTCCACCAGATCACTGAATCCTCAAAACCACCTCGAGGGAGCTATAGCTACTATTCCCATTGTACAGATGGGAAACTGAGGCTCAGATGGCTGGTGAGTGGCAAATCTGGGCTGCAAACCCAGGTTTAATTCCAAAGGCCATGCTGTATCTCATTTGTTGTGGGGACCAGAGAGGTGGATGCCTCTTTTGTACAAGACGACACATGTGTCACATGAAGCTTGGCTGGGTCTGACTTCCCCAACTTGGCCTCAAACTATCCAGAGCCAGGGGCGCCTGGGTGGCTCAGTCGGTTAAGCGTCTGCCTTCAGCTCAGGTCATGATCCCGGGGTCCTGGGATCGAGCCCCGCATTGGGCTTCCTGCTCGGTGGGAAGCCTGCTTCTCCCTCTCCCACTCCCCCTGCTTGTGTTCCCTCTCTCCTATGTCTCTGTCAAATAAATAAATAAAAATCTTAAAAAAAAAAAAACAACTATCCAGAGCCAGGCTCCATTGTTAACACAACTGCAGTGTATGGGAGGAGCAGGTCTATTAGGATGACCAGGGAACACAATAGGGTTTGTTTTTGTTTTTAATATCTTTCCAATTTCATTTTTACTTTTTAAAAAGATTTTTACTTATTTATTTATTTGAGAGAGCAAGAGAGAGGCACACGCATGAGCTCGGGGGACAGGCAGAGGGAGAAGGAGAAGCAGACTCCCCACTAAGCAGGGAGCCCAATGTGGGACTCAACCCCAGGACCCTGGGATCATGATCTGAGCCGAAGGCAAATGCTTAACCAACTGAGCCACCCAGGCGCCCCTTTATTTTAAATGCTTCTTGAGATTTATAGTAAAATAACTTTAGACTTCCATCATATATCATAAAATTCCTTCACTTGGCTTTCCCTGATGTTATCATCTTACATAACCATTGTACAACTATCTAAACAAGGGAATTAACATCGATACTAATCATTAGACCTTAACTGAATTTCACCAATTTTCCCACTAATGTCCTTCCTCTAGTTGACAGATCAGTTCAGACTAAGTTAGTGTGCCCATCAGAGCAGCAGGTTCCCCCCCCCCTTGGCTATCATGAAATAGAACTACATACCCAGCCCTACTGTAAGTCCCTGTTTGAGCCATACCTGCAGATAAGGCCCAGGCAACCCTCACCAGCACTGGCCAGGCCACACTGAGAGATAAGTGGACTCCTCCAAAGATATGTCAGGTTGGGTCCAAGACAAGTGGAATAGGGACCTCTGGGTTTCAGAACAATCTTGAACCTCAAAGAACTCAGGAGTTAGCCTGGTTTACAGGTTAGCAAGAGCAAACCACTTGCCCTCTTTTATCTGGAAAACGGAGGCAACAGTGCCTTCCTCAGAGCGGAGATTTGAGATGGTGTTTGTAAAGTACCCATCACTTAATATATAAGCGCTATTTTCATCCTCTCTCAGACAGGGTAACCTAACAAGTTTTATTAGTAGAATATAACCAGTTAACCGGAGAGAGGGGGAATTACCACAGAACAATTCTTGGAAGAGGGGATGAACAGACACACAGAACATTATCTTACTTATCTGTTCTTCCTACCTCGTCTCAGAAAGGATTTAAGGGGGCTGGGGCTTTAAAACAGTAGTAAAGGGCGCCTGGGTGGCTCAGTTGGTTCAGCTATTGCCTTCGGCTCAGGTCATGATCCTGGAGTCCTGGGATCGAGTCCCACATCAGGCTCCCTGCTCAGCAGGGAGGTCTGCTTCTCCCTCTGACCCTCCCCCCTCTCATGTGCTCTCTCTCATTCTCACTCTCTCAAATAAATAAATAAAATCTTAAAAAAAAAGGAAGTATTAAAAAAAACAAAACAGTAGTAAAGAGCACTCTTAACTGCCCCCACTGGCCAGTCTCTTCAATAGAGCTCAGTTTTTTCCTCCTATAAATGGGAACAACCCTTGCCTTCTCTACCACAAGGGTCAGGATGGTAGAAAGGGCAAGAATCCTTGAGGTAGGGTCACGGGTAGAGGTTTCTCCCTGTTTCGCTTGCCCCAACCACAGTACAGTGCAAAGGAAATATCCATGTCAGGGGCCCAGAAACTGGCTCTGAAGCCCAGAAAATGCCCAGAGAAATATGGATTAAGTATCCATACACCCAAGGGGACCACTTGGAAGGTGTTATAAGAGGATACTTCCAGAGAAAAAGAGAGCGAGAAGAATAGGAGGGAAGGAGCAGCTAGAGAAGATCAAGGTGGTGGGGAAGAGGAAAGGGGAAGATGGGAAGACCATACCATCCTTCAGTTTCTCGTCCTGGGGGAAGGGCCCATCTGGGAGCACATCTGCAGCAATGAGCACTGTCCGCGAGTCCTCCAGCACCTGAGGGAACCCCACCCGGGCTGAGTGGCTTTGCAGAGCCCTTCACAGATGGTCCTATTTATTTAAACCCTATTTCCAATCTTTTGCGCATGTAGTTCCCCTCATTGAACACCAGCCCTTTAGGGAACTCCTACCCATCCGTCAGTGCCCAGATCGAAGACTGGGCCTGCCGTGAGCTGCCCCACACCCACACGCACCTTAAAGAGCCCCCTGAGCATGACATCAAGAATCTTGTACTGCTGGTGGACATCGTTTAGGTGTGCCAGGTTTTTCAGGGCCAGCAGCTGTTCTCGCCGTTTCACCTCAAACATCTTCTTGTCTGAGCAGCATGAAGTTAAGGGGCTGGCACCCATACTCCTGCCTGGACAATCCAGTGGCCCCAGTCCAAAGGGCCCATTCCCAACCAGCAAGTATCTGCAAGGGCCACAGATGCCCATGGCTGAGACACTCCCCCTCTCCCCACACCTCCGGGGAAGAAACAAACTAAGAGGCATGGGCATCCTGCAACCTATCCTCTGTCCATTTCACATAGGATTCTATATCCAACACCTGAACACAACCCTCAGGACCTGGCTCCTGCCCTCCCCTCCCCGTGGTCTTCCTTTTACTTGCTGCAACCATTCACTATTCCCAGAACCTCCACTCCTCTGCTTATACTGTACATGTCACCTGGGATGCCACTGCCCCCCCCCTTCTCCATGAGTTTCTGTTCTTTCATGACCCAGTTCAAAAGCCACAGCACCATGTTTCTCCCTGCCCCTCTTCCCCAGCCATGGTTCATTAAAGTGCTGACTACAGAGTACAGCGTGAGGTCTGTGAGTTCCTCAAAGCCAGGGATTGACTGGTCCTAACTCTTCTTTGTGTCCCTAAGGTCTGGCCCAGAGCAGGTAGCCCAGTATGCCAGGGCCTGACTCTCCACCCAGGGTCTCACCCACAAGATGCAAAGCACATGCACAATCCTCAGAGCCCTTGTGGCTCTGAGAAGTATGCCTTGCCTTCTCCATTTAACATATGGGGAAACTAAGGATCAGAAGAGAATTGACTTGATCAAGGTTTGGTTAGAGCACCTCACCTTTTCTCCCCTGTTCTCACAGTCTGGGTCTGCTCCAACCCTCGAATCCAAGGGGTTGTGGGTACAGAAAGACTGTTTATAGACCCCCTCAGAAACAGCTTATTAACCCCACCTCCACCCCAAAGGATACAGATCTGCAGGCTCGGGTCCAGGGAGGTCTTCAGGGTGTCTGTGACTCCCGTCCCAGACAACAGCAGGACAAAGAAGAACTGAAGAAGATCCATATCCAAGATCCTAGAGCTAGGAAAGCAACCCAGAGAGAGGTGAGATCCAGAGCTTGGTTGTATAAAATAAAGAGTGCAGGTAAACAGCAACTTCCTGACATGGCCTGGCCTCCAAATACCAAGAATCCAGCTTTGGGGAGCCCTGGAGCCCCAGTTTCAGCCCAGGGCCTGTGACCACCAGACACACAATAAACACCGTGGGATGGTAGAAGGGAGGAAAACAGATAATATTGGCAACATAAGGATGCTTAGCACACAGGGGTCAGCGTCTAGAACTCTGGGCTAGAGCCCGAGCTCTGCCTCTGTGGGCCCTGGGGCAAAGTGCTCAGCTTCTCTGAGCCTCAGTTTTTTCACCTGTAAAACAGAAATAAGGAAGTCCCCTCCTTGCTGTAGGGAGAAAGAACTGGGTGAGGCATTATGCCTGGGGAAAGGGGCTGGTCATTACTATTCCCTTTCAACACACCCCATCCTGGACCCCAGGAAGGTGTCTGGTTAAGGAAGCCCAGGCAGTCAGGGGAGTTGTGAAACTTCTGCAGTTTCTCTCCCTCTCTGACTTCTGTCCTCACAACAGAAGAAGGGGCCTGCCTGGTTGGCTCAGTCAGTGGAGCATGCAACTCTTGATCCTGAGGTTGTAAGTTCAAGCTCCACACTGGGTGTAGAGATTATTTAAAAATAAAATCTTAAAAAAAAAAAAGACAGAAAAAGGGATTTGGGGCGGGAAAGGAGGAGGCACAGTCTTGGGTAAGAAGGCTGCCTGCCACTCACTCACTTTGGAACCACAGGCACCACAAACACCACCTGTTCTTATTCAAGCACCATTCCCTAATTATTTTTTAAGTACCACATTCAAGGCACTGTTTTAGACCTGGGAATACAGCAGTGTCTAAGACCAACAAAAATCACTGCATTCATGGTACTTATGTCCCTAGTAGGGGAAACAAACAATCAATCAACTTGTAAAACAAGCACAGAAGGATGAGGGAGCTGGTGAAACACACACTGAAACACAGTGGTCAGAGGAGGCCTCACGCTCAGATGACAGCTGCCCAATTTTACCAATGTGGGAACCAAGGCACAGAAAAGTGAGGTGATTGCCCAAAGACACTCAGCTATTCCCGGGCTAATGAGATTCTAAATGAGTATAGGCTACCTCAAAGCTGCCACTGTACTAGCAGGACACCTGCTCCAGGGGAAAGACGCTCAGTGATTGACAGAGAGCCTGCAGAGGTCATTCAGAGAACCGCCCCGGTGCCACCCTACGAGGATGAGACAACTGAAGCTTCAAGAATGGGAAAGAGTAGTCCAAGTTCACCCAGGACAACCTGCCTTCCAACATCATGCTCTAGACTCAAGGGAACCAGACCCGGGCTAGGGCAGAACTTGAAGCCAGGGGCTATCAGACAGCCGGTAATGACCGAAGCGGGAAAAGTGGGAAAGGAAAACCGAAAAAGCAGATTGCGTGGAGACGGATCCTGCTTCTTCTGTTACTCCCACTTACCCTGCCTCCCAATCCCGCTCCCCGCCCGGGTACACGACTCTGAACCCATTCTGTAAGGGTGACACGGCGATGGCGGGCTGAGCCGGCTACGTGGACTCGCGGACCCAGCCTACTGCCCCGAGCCTTTGGGGCGCCCAGAGGAGAGAACGAGTCCTTCCAACGAGAAGCGTTCGGGGCCGCGAATCTCATCCCCTACCCCCAGCAGCCCTTGGTCCCTGCCCCCCAGCCCCACCAGGCCCTTGGTCCCTGCCCCCCAGCCCCACCAGGAGCCCGCCCTCCCGGGACCCCCGCCGCCACCTACCAGGCAGGTCGGTGCGGGAAGGGGCGTGCGGATAGGACGGCGGTGCGCAGCCCGGCTCTAGGGTCCACGGGGCGAACAGCAGAGGCGCGGAACCTCACACTAGGCGCCAGCAGCATCGCAGGAACCTCCAAGCACCGCCCCCGGCCAATGAGCGCGAGCCGCGACGGCCCCCTCAGCTGACCTCACTTCCGGCCCCGCCCCGCCCCCAGCTCCGTAAACCGGAGTCTAGTCCCGCCCACCTCGTGCCGGGGCGTGATTGTCACTCTGTCACTGTCAGATTGGAGGAAGTTAAGTCTGCGGGAGTCTGGGCCCGACGCAAAGGGCGCGTCTGCGGACTGGGGCCCTGACCGAAACTTTTCATCAGCTGACAGTGTCTTTTAAACTGTAGTTGACAGGATCAGTTTGGTGGGTCACGACTAGCAGTTTTTTTTTTTTTTTAAGAAATCGGCAGTGCGAAGTTGGTGCATCCCCTGCTCGCCTCTCCAGTCCACCAGCTTCTAAACCTAGTTCGTTAGGGGCCTCCCTACCCGTTCATTAGGACGGAGTTCAGACCAGTTTTGTGCAGCGTCCGTACAACCAAGCCCGAGGAGTAGGGTGGGCTGCCCAGGTACCGGCACCCAGGTGTGTGGGGGGCGGGGACAGGGGGCTCGGCAGGCGGACAGGGAGCCAGAGGCGCAGTGGGCTGAGCTGGGCACAGGGAGCAGGCACAGTTGTGGAGAGCAGACCTTTGAAGAACACGTGGTAATCAAATACAAGCTCTGGGGAGGGCTCACGGAAAGAAACACAAGGTACCCACTTTAGCCAGGGAGAAGTTGGGCTCAGCTAGTGAGGCACAGAAGGATTTGACCTGCTCAGCTTCCTTGCCTGGAAATTGTACCTCTCTCCACCTTCACCTGAGGTGAGGCAGCAGGTAAAGTGCCCCTCAGAGCACTTGGATCACACGGGTACCACACACGTGGCCTTTCTCTGCACTTTCAGCCCCGTGGGTGGCCTGCCTGGTATTTTCTGGGTACAACTGAGGCAGCCAGCTGGTGCTCCTTACATGTTACCAGAACAAATCCCATCCCCTGTCCCTGAGGAGGCCATCCATTCCTCATTGTAGCAATCCACCATGCCAGTGGCAGAGTTATCAGTTCCAGGGAGCCAAGATAAGTTGAGACAGAAATGTTTTTGGAGCCCACAGAGACATGTGAGTGTATCATTTTATTTCCCGACTCCATTTCAACAGTGGAGTAAGATGCTACATTTGTCATCCATTTCCCCAACAATTCTGACTTTCTCTTCTCCAAGTCTTAGTTCTCTCTTTCTGGGCCTTCAAGTTATGAGGGTCAGTCTCTGATGTGGGACAGGGATACAGCCACCCCTCCCAGGCAACTGGCAGCAAAACATGAGAGGAAAATGCAGAAAGGTGGAGCCAACCGTGGGAGAACCACACTTCCAGAGCCCAAAGGTGCTCTTAGGAATAGTGGGCTGAATTCTAAATCTGGGACCCAAACACCAGGGTAGGTATTCAACAGGGAACTGTTTCAGGCACCAGGGAAGGAGAGCCAGGGAGGTAGCCAGTGGGGATGGGGAGGAAGCACCAGACTGAACACCCAGACTCAATTGTCTCTGGAGCCCCACAACCACCCCCAGAGGGCCTCTAGCCACTGCCCACAGCCCCAGGCTTTCTTAGGGACAGGTCAGTCAGCCAGCACCCCCCACTGGGCTGAGGGAAGCACCTGTATCAACTGGGTTTGGGCAATTTTCTCCAAAGCTCTTGGGGAAGGACTGGCTTCTTCCTGAGTTTGGTGATGTGGCTTTGGAGACAGACAAATGGGGGTCAGATCCTGATGCTATTACTGTGTGATCCTGGGCACATCATTTAACCTCTCTGGTGTAAGTTATACCTACGTTAACAGCCCTAGCTTCTGTGAGGATTAGACATAGTACAAGTCATAGTACAAGTTCCTACCAAGTCAAGTCCCTTGGTAGGAACTTAAACAGAATAAGTCAGTGTCATTACTATCCACTATTATTCTCACTGATGCAAATGCTTTAAAGGACAGAGCTGTAGACACTGTCACCCCTCTGAAGCATGATGCCACAGCCTCCCATAGCCTGGGTGACCTTGCCCAGGCCAAGGCTCCCAGATGCAAGAAAGGATACAGCATGTCCAGGGGTGGCTGGACGGAGGAGGTGCTCAGGGAAAGGCCCTCTAAGGAGGCCTGCAGGGTCTGGGCCGTGCTGTGATCAGCCAGGAGACCCATGCTCTGGACCTGAGGAGAGAAGGCAGGGAAGACAGGCCTTCTCAGCAGCCACTCCATACAGGCCCTCTCAACCCTCCACCCTCTGCACTCCTTACCTCCCACGGCTGCTGTGGCCAGAGCACGCATCCTCCACAGAGAAGATGGCATGGACAGTCTGGCCTTACAGCGGCTACCCAGCATCCCCTTCCCACCCACCTGCAGGAAGAAGCCACGCAGAGCCTGGAGTGTGGTGTTCGACAGGGTAGAGAGGTCAGCCAAAGCTGCGCCTTGCAGAACATGACCCACTTCCTCCTGAGACAGGACACTGCTGCTCTGGAACCGCACAAACTAGGCCAGGGAGAGAAGCCCCAAACACACAGTGATTTGGCATATCCTTCCTTCACAGATATTTCCGGTGCCCCTGCTGTGTTTGGCACCAGGCTGGGGGCACAGATCTGAAGCCCAGAGAACCCTGCCGTCAGGAGCTCAGAGTTGGTGGGCGGAGGTGGGGCTGTGTCATAGAAGAGTGGGGTAAATGAGGCAGACTGTGAAACCCTAAGAGAGTTGGCCCTGCTGACCCTTCAGTACCCTTCCCCTCACTGCTTGGCCCTGCCCCTCACACTCATGGCCAAAAAGGACTAGGTGTGGTTATCCAAACACACCCGCATGTACTCATTTACCTGCTACTTCGCTTCACTACCTGGAATACTTTTCCTCCACTTTGCCTATTAATGCTTCAAACCTCACCTGAAATGTTTCCTTCCTGCTGAACGTTTTCATTTCATTAAAGAAATAGAGGCATTAACTGAATGCTTATTGCACCCTTATTCACCTCTCCCTCCTGGCTCTGGCAGAAGCAATTAGTCAATCTTTGAACACGAGAGTTAACTGCACAGGTCCACCTATACACAGATTTTTTTCGATAAATATAGTACAGCACTGTAAAAGTATTTTCTCTTTATGATTTTCTTAATAACATTTTCTCTTTCCAGCTTACTTTATTGTAAGAATACAGTGTTTAGTACACATAACATACAAAATATGTGTTAACTGTTTATGTGATCAGTAAGGCTTTCAGTCAACAGTGGCCTATTAGTAGTTAGGTTTTGGGGAGTCAAAAGTTAATGTGCAGATTTCCAACTGTGCGGGGGTCAGCACAGTTGACCCTAACCCCCACGCTATTCAGTGGTCAACTGTACTCTTCTCTGTGTTCCCACAACCACCACTGATTTATTCATTGATTCACTTCACTATCATTCACAGGCTCACTGCTTTGTTGTTTATTCAATGAGCACTTACTGTGTGCCAGGCACTTAGCATATCTTCTACTATGCCACTAATAACATCATGTTTTAACTATTAGTTTCCTTGTCTATCTCCTTCTTTAGACTGAGGGACCCTTAGAAGGCAGAGCATTTGGCTCAGTGACATCTTTGGTCCCTAGCATAGGATCTGGATGTAGCAGACAAGCCCTGGCCAATGTTTCACATGCTAATGAATTAGAAAGAGTATCTGGGTCTTTGGGGGGTGAGAAGATGTTGGCATTTAGAGGAATTCTCTGAGTAGGCCCACCTATCCCCTCTACTTTCTACCCCTCTACCTGGCCTCTTCAGGACCACCCAGCTCATGACATTCTTCACACCACAGGACCATCCATTCTGCACTTACCAGGGTCATGAGCCTCAAGATCTCAGGTCTGAGGAAGGAACTCTCTCCAGCATCCAGGAGGGTAAACAGCAAAAACCGATTCCAGGGCTGGGAGACCACATGGAACGCTATAGGAAACACCAGTCACCCTGGGTTGTTACTGCTGCTTTTCCAGAGGCCCTGGAACACTGCTGAAGAGGACTTTCTCTTATTGACTCAAAAAGGGGTTGCTCAGCTAGAGGCAGGGTATTGGACAAACTGACCACTGGAAGTTTCTTTCTTCCCTGGGCTTCTATCCACCTATGCTGCCTGGCTCAGGGAGACTATATCCCACTATTGTGGAAAGCAGGCAACAGGAAGGGCTCTGCCACTTCGGAGCTTTGTGACCTTGGTTGGGCAGGTTACTTGACATCTTTGGACTGCAGCGTCCTCATCCATATAATGGAAATCACAATGCCCTTGCATGTTATGAAAAGAATTAAACAAAATGAGTCTGAATCAAAAAACAGAGGTTGGGAGTCTGGGACAGGAAGGTGGCAGGGGCTGGCCACCCCTATGGGAGCATCAGAGAATGCGCAAGGTTTCTACCGATGTCTGGGCTCCGGGCATGCAGGTAGTCAAGCAAGGCTTCCAGGCAGCCAACACAGGCATAGGACAACAGAGGGTCCTTCTGCAAACAAACAAACAAAACCCCTTCATGTCAGGTTTTGCTACCAATGAGTATTAGTGCCAACCAAGAAAAAAAAATTGGTTTTCAGAATAATTTGTATTTGAATTTCAGATTTGGGATTGTAACCCTGTAGATAATCAAGAAATGTTTGTTGCTTGGGGTGCCTGGGTGGCTCAGTTGTTAAGTGTCTGCCTTCGGCTCAGGTCATGATCCCAGGGTCCTATGATCGAGCCCCGCATCGGGCTCCCTGCTCAGCCGAAAGCCTGCTTCTCCCTCCCCCACTCCTCCTGCTTGTGTTCCCTCTCTTGCTGTCTTTCTCTCTGTCAAATAAATAAATAAAAAATCTTAAAAAAAAATGTTTGTTGCTTTCATCTCTAACTCACACATAGAGCATAGTGCTTATACTGATGATTTACCTACATTCTACCTACATTCAAGAGACTGTTTCAGAAAAGGAGGGGTGCCTGGATGGCTCAGATGGTTAAGCGTCTGCCTTCAGCTCAGGTCATGATCTCAGGGTCCTGGGATCCAGCCCCACGCTGGGCTCCCTGCTCAGCAGAGAGTCTGCTTTTCCCCTTCCCTCTGAGCATGCCCCTTCCCGCC